GAAACGGTCGAATGTAAAGCGGCACTTCGACACGCGCCACGCTACCTTTGCATCAAAATACCCTGCGGGAGACAGCAGAAAGAAAGCGTGCCAAGAGCTTCTGAGCAGGGTGCAAGCTAGCCAGCAGCAACTCCGCGTATGGACCCGGCAAGGTGACTATAATTCGGCTAGCTTTGCTGGTTCTTTAGCAATAGTGAGGAACGGAAAACCATTCACAGATGGCGAGTATGCTAAAACGTTCATGCTGGATGTAGCCAATGAACTTTTTGATGATCTTCCGAACAAAGACAAGATAATCAAACGGATACAAGACATGCCTCTGTCGGCAAGAACTGTTCATGATCGTACCATCGTGATGGCAAACAAAGTGGAGGAAACGCAAGTGAAGGACATAAATGCAGCGCCGTTCTTTTCTCTGGCTTTGGATGAGTCAACAGACGTGAGCCATTTGTCGCAGTTCAGCGTGATTGCAAGATATGCTGTTGGTGACACACTGCGTGAAGAAAGTCTTGCTGTTCTGCCATTAAAAGGGTCCACAAGAGGTGAGGATTTATTCAAGTCTTTCATGGAGTTTGCTCAAGAAAAAAATCTACCTATGGATAAACTTCTCTCAGTGTGTACTGATGGTGCTCCGTGTATGGTGGGGAAAAACAAAGGATTTGTGGCGCTTCTCCGTGAACATGAAAATAGACCCATCCTAAGTTTCCATTGCATTATACACCAGGAGGCACTTTGTGCTCAGATGTGTGACAGGCAGTTTGGCGAAGTGATGTCGCTGGTCATTCGTGTGATCAACTTTATTGTTTCCCGAGCCTTAAATGATCGCCAGTTTAAAACACTGCTGGATGAAGTTGTAAATAACTATCCTGGTCTGCTTTTGCACAGCAATGTGCGTTGGTTGTCAAGAGGGAAGGTGCTTAGCCGTTTTGCGGCTTGCCTGAACGAAATCCGGACTTTCCTTGAAATGAAAGGCGTCGGGCATCCTGAGCTAGCCGACACCGAGTGGCTCCTCAAGTTTTACTATCTCGTAGATCTGACTGAACATCTGAACCAGCTCAACGTGAAAATGCAAGGCATTGGAAATACAGTGTTATCCCTTCAACAAGCTGTATTTGCTTTTGAAAACAAGCTGGAGCTTTTCATCACGGATCTTGAAACAGGTCGTTTACTACATTTTGAAAAACTGAGCCAATTTAAAGATGCATGCACAGCAAGTGAGCCCATTCAAAACCTTGATCTCCACCAGCTAGCTGGCTGCACATCCAGTCTCCTACAGTCCTTCAAAGCACGCTTTGGAGAATTTCGTGAGCACACTCGTCTTTTTAAGTTCATCACCCATCCAAACGAGTGTTCACTGAACACAGCCGACCTGAATTACATCCCTGGTGTCTCCGTCAGAGATTTTGAAGCAGAAGTGGCTGACCTGAAGGCCTCAGACATGTGGGTGAATAAGTTCAAGTCACTGAATGAAGATTTGGAAAGAATCACACGACAGAAAGCGGAGTTGGCGAGCAAGCACATGTGGACAGAAATGAAAAAACTCCAACCCGAAGACCAGCTGATTCTCAAAACTTGGAACGCGCTTCCTGTCACATACCACACACTGCAGCGTGTGAGTATTGCTGTATTGACCATGTTTGGATCTACGTATGCATGTGAGCAGTCATTCTCACATCTTAAAAACATCAAGTCCAACCTACGATCACGTTTAACGGATGAAAGCCTCAACGCTTGCATGAAGCTTAACCTCACCAAGTACCAACCCGACTACAAAGACATCAGCAAATCCATGCAGCACCAGAAGTCGCATTAATGGTGAGTGTTATAACAACATTATTTAAAAGAATAAATTCAGAGGCTTATTATACTGACATTTAGTTGAATTCACTTTTAAAATATATTATATGGCTCTCACTGAAATAAATTTCCAAATTTTTTGCTTTCATGGCTCTCTTAGTCAAAAAGGTTCCCGACCCCTGCTCTAACAGATAGGTGAAAACCCTCCCCGTAGAGCTTCAAATCTAGAATCCAAATTTCACGTTCGCTATTTCAATAAAGGCCCTCTCCGTAAAGCTTCAAATCTAGAATCCAAATTTCACGTTTCGCCACTTCAAAAAAGGCTCTGGACAGCAAGTCATCGGGGTCCTCGTGAGCTGTGACAAGTGTTTCGTTCACGGTATTTATCAGCTCTCTTTTTCACCGTCCTAAAATTTAGCCACTTGCACTAAATATTTACTAAAGTTGTCTTCTCTAAAGGGAAAGCAGTATCCAATTACATTAACAGGATATGACGAGTTACATTTACCATTTTAACACGGGAACAAAACGGCTCACCAGAGGTTGATTTTATTTCCAAAGATCTGAGACATATTGAGGTGAAAAACCGCCCTGTGCACGGCGTACTGATCTCCCATCTCGACCATGGCGGCTCCCGGCTTGCTCTTCAGGAACTTAACCTACAAGAATAACAACCCGTAACACGGTTCAGCATCGCGCAATCTTGTACGAAAATATCTACAAGTTTCGTTGTAACGCATCGTTGAAATGTGAAGTGTTGGCTGAGGGGCCATTAGAAAACATGCACAAAGAACACTTCGCATTGGGTACATTTTTGTAAAGAAAAAAGAGCAAATGTGTATGTTGTCAACCGGTGAACAAATTTGGTCGTGTGAATCTCCCACTTTATATAACACGATGAGCGCACGACGTGCACCACACGCGTGCGTACGCGTTGCACCGCGGTTGAACCTTTGGAAGGAAAAAAACGGGGACTCATTTCAAAGCAGGCGCGCGCAACACCCAGCGAAGGCACCTTCTCCACGTCGCCGAAGAGGCAGAGGATGTTAAACACGCGGTCGCAGTTGAAGCGTTCGGCATCCAAGCCGTACACCATGAGGACCTTGTTGCCGGCCTGCTGGTTCATCATGGCCTGCACGTGCTGGCCCTGGGGCCCACCCAGGTTGCCCATGCCCATTCCTCCCATGCCCATTCCTCCCCCACCGCCCATGCCCATGCCGTCGCCGCCAGGTCCGTAGTCGAGGCCCGGTGGCGGTGGCTGCTGGTGGCCTGTGACGCAAACACACAAGAGGGGGAAACGCATCGTGAACTAGCTGAAACTCTCTAAACTTCTCTGAAAAACAGATTTACCACAGCCATCATCTTACACACACGTGTGCCCTTTCCTATAAGATCAGGTAACCCAGGATTCACCACTCTACCCCTTGGAGACACTGGAAAACATTGGTCCAGAAGACTCAGTTGCCTAGGGAATAGACTAAACTAGTTTTTATTTTAGGTTGAGGCCCACCAAGCTAGAGCTCTTATTCAGCATAGCTTGTTTTAAATACCCAATACATCTGATAACTGTTGGAAATATCGTCTCTTTAAAACACAAAGCAACTCGTACGTTGCAATTGTTAACCGCAAAAAAAGGTTTTTAGGATGCACCTTAACACTAATTCCAAATAAGAAATGTTCTCAACAGGCAGCAGGTTCTTTCAATCTGACAGCAAGCTGAAGGAAACCGAAATTATAGCATTCGCAACAAGGGGATTACCTCCACAGTCGCCACCACCGCAAGCGTGTGCTTTGGGATGGTCGCCAAGGAGAGACGTTTGCTTCGCTGGCATCACTGCATTGTCCTCTGAAAACAAACAAAAAAACGATCACCAAATTCACCCACGGGAAACATAAGCGCTCACTGCTGCACAAAATATGACAATCCAAAAAAATCATTCTGCACCCAGAACATTCACACTACCAACACATTAAGAAATTCCGGGCACATTCCACAAGGCGGCGCGCTGCGTCTGTCGATAAAAACAATCGGCGGTATTTTTAAAATGCAGATTTCACACGGCGCAACATAAATAACGAGCACCATACAAAATACAGCGCGTAAAGAAACGCTCATCGCAAGAAGAAGAAATTTTTTTTATTGGAGGTGTACAGATGCACGCGACAAATTGTTCCGAGGTGCGGCGTCAGCGAGTATCCGTGGTTGCCGCCTGCGATGCCCGCTCGTTTCTTACCCAGTCTACGCTTCGACGGGAACACAAAGTTGCCCAGAGTCGGGCGGCGGCTGACGACCCATCGCGAGGAGGATGCAACAGAAAGGCCGGCGCCTTCTTTCCTGCGCCAACAGCAGTCACGCTCGGCACAAATGGACCCCCCCGCGTTGTCCGTGCCACCGCACCTCTCGCTCTCCGGCGACCCTTTTTGGTTTGGGGCTTAAAATTGGGACAATTGAAGTGGGCGACGGGGCCTTACAAACCTTTAAAATGAAAAAGATCGCCGCTTATAAACCGATGCGAAATGCGTTGTGTCTGGCATCTGCAATGTAAAAAGCCTCGTTTGCAAACAAAACTTTAGCAAGGCAGTCTAAACGTACGAGCGTCGAGGTAAATTCTCACCAACGGAGCGATTTTAAGCCCCAAACGCATCGGCACGCGTTCCGTTCGGTTTATTTCCAAGTCCCGTTCGCGGTGAATGCGGGCTTTTGTCGTTCCCGGCTTCTTCGCGGCGATGCCGGTACTTTGCCGGTCTGTCAGCGCCGTGTCCCCCCGGTGCCTGCGGCTGGACGCGGGTTATCCGATGGCCTCTGCCAAGCGGCACTTGGCGGTTGCGGTGCAGCGGATGCGGCGTGCTGCGCCGAGTGTTCTGTGACGTGGCGCTGCAGGCGTGGGGGGCGCGGGTCGGCCGTGCGTGTCACAGCGGCGGCGGCGTGTTGGTTGCTTGGTCCCCGGTGCCTCCCAAGTGCCGACGAGGATGTCGCCAATGTCGCCGTTCGTGTCGTCGCCGTTCACGTCGGTGGCTGTTGGCTGCCGGGCGCTTGATTGCTCGTGTGTTGCTTGCAAATTGCCTCCGTGTGCTTCTGTGTGCGGCAATGCTCGCAGATGCTCCTTGTAGCGTTGATGTTTGGAGTGAGGAAAATACTCTTCGAAGCGTTTACGGAAATTTGGCGATAAAATCAAACCGCACCGTGTCCCTGAAGCTCCCTTGATAAAGTGGCGAGACTTACCTCTTCGGAAACTAATATCTGTGCGTACGCACAATGTACTCGGGACAAAGATACATTTTCCTGTTCAGGCTCAATCGTACCAAATTAAAAGGGTTACTTTATAATAAGTGATATTTTCAATCGTAAATATCGGCTTTTCTGACATCCTCTAAGCTTCTCCGCTTAGTATCCAGACACCACATAATGCAGTCAAGGTTTCTCAACCCTACAAAATATAAAAACGCAACGTGCAATGTCCACCTCAAATATGCCAGTGAAAGTTGGCACCTACTTCTGATCCAACAGACACACACCCTGGTAAATCTAAATATAAAAGTAAAACCTTGGATTGCGAGTAACTTGGTCTGCAAGTGTTTTGCAAGACGAGCTAAAATTGTAAATAAATATTAACTTGATAAACGAGCGAGGTCTTGCAATACGAGCAGTGTACGTGTAGACACACTTTGTACTGCCGTGAGTCACGTGATCACACAACTGATAGACGAGTGCTTTGATGTACGAGCGCTTTGGATTACAAACACGTTCCCGGAACGAATTATGCTCGCAATGCAAGGTTTTACACTGAAGTGTTATAATGCCCAGCCTTGATACACCCCGAACAACCGAGTACCCGCCTATGGGCCACATGCACTTGACGTTGGGAAAATCTTCAAAGCTGATCAAAATCTAAAACGCCACCAACTTAATGGCAATGTCTATCGCATGTCCAGTACCAGGGCAACAGCTTTAATGGTAACATAAAAATGAATCCAATGGATTATTGAACACTCCAGCAGCCACATGCCTCCTTGTGAATCCTGTTCTTCACAACATTCACTTATACTGCCACATTGTTCTGAAGGGTAAACTAGAAAAACAAAGTACACGGGCACGAGTTTAAAACCAATCTGCCCAGAGTAAACTACGCAAGCTTAGCATGGGCTAAAAAAACACAAAGATTATTTAGTTATATGTTGCGCTAGCTGTTACTACCCGGCTTCGCCCGGGACTTGGATCCACCACGCCCGGCCGTCTTTGTCTCCCCAGTAGCGATGTTCACACACCACAGCAGTTAGTCGTTTGAGGCTGAGTCGACCTAGGGGAGGCCCAGGACCGGTTAAAATAATCGTCACCGGCGGTGGCGGTGAGCAGGAATCGAACTTGGGTCGCCGGGTTCATAGCGCAGCGTAACGCTAACCGCTACACTACGGGTCACGTGACAGATTTGACGTCACAGCTCACTTGCCGTACAAAAAATAAGTGCATTATTGAGCTCCCCCCCACCCCCCAGAAAAAAAGTGTATTTTTATAATGTTTGCACGGTGTACAGTCTGGAAAGTACCCACATGGCAAATTTCCAGTTTGTTGCATGTCGGGAAGTACGCTAAACATTTTGAACAGACACACACAATCACAACTTTGCCTTTTATATATATGGAGAAGATAGGTATAAACGAAAATAACCTTGACCAGCTCTACACAATTGCAGTGATTGCATGTTTGATACAGAAGAGGGGAGTGGCGTTTCAAATAACTTCCTGTGACATCGACCAAGTTCTGTAGATTTTTCGATTTAAAGCTTTCGTGACTGCAATGATTCATCTTCTTTGGTTCTTTCGGTAAAGTCACGTAGAATGAGAATAAAATAATAAATTGATAAAATAACACAATAATATTCTCATGACGTTTCGGCCACAACACAAGCGGCCTTCATCAGGTGAAGGGGGCGAGACTGTCTGGTAGGACAGTGCTGGAGTGAGAGAGCCACGTTCAGATCACGGCTTTTAAGCTGTGTGAGAGGAACAAAGAGCCTTGACGAAGGAATTAGCATAAAATTTAGCATTGAAATGGCTGAATGATTAGCTTGTGACTGGTCACAGAAATAGCTATGTTAAAAGTTAAAGCATACACATCCGCAGAGGCACCCATTGTTAAAAGGAATTAGCATAGAATTTAGCATTGAAATAGCTAAGTTAAGGCATACACATCCGCAGAGGCACCCCTTGACAATGGGATTAGCATAGAATTTAGCATTGAAATGGCTGAGTGATTCGCTTGTAACTGCTACAGAAATAGTTACGTTGAAGTCAGAGCATACACATTCACCGAGGCACTTAGTACAAATCAAACAGGAGAATTTAGCATTGAAATAACTAGGCGAATTTAGCATTGAAATAACTGGGTGATTTGCTAGTGACTGGTCACAGAAATGACTACACATCTGAGCTATTCACAGTACTATATAGTGAACCAATAAAAACTAAAAATATAAATTATCTTCATGTTATCAATAAACTCTATATTCTCCAATCAGCTAAGCTACCAACCATAAGTCGTTATATATCACAATGCTATATGGCGAAAAAATGGGTGGATTCTTACCCTCAAATTTCCGTACCACGGATAGCTACGGGCCCCGTTCAGACGGACGAGTTCGTCCATGGTCGGAACAGAGGAGGGGGAGAGAGACAGCTGCGAAGCCCTAGTATACTCCATGTTGTAAACCATACCATTAACCGTGGTGTGAGAGGTATTAAGAGGCAATGCTGGCGAAAGAGCTGCGGTCTGAAGGTCATCGTAAAATTACAATTAATTAAGAACAGAAATGATTTAACACATCTTTCCAGTGGTTACTAAGCCTGAATCCATCTTCTCGGTTGAAATTGTCTCTGTGCTTGTATATGTGAATGGCCTCATGAACGAATCTCTCATGGTAGCCAGTTGGTTTGCAAAGAACCTCCGTCTTGGAGAAGTCAATGTCATGTGAGCCCACTGAATTGTAACAGTGATCTGCCACGGCAGAGGAGTTCGTCTTACCGTGTTTCAAGTCTGCTTTATGTTCGCGGATGCGGTCCGAGATATGTCTTTTGGTTTCTCCAATGTAGCTACTACCACAGAGGCACTTTAGTTTGTAAACGCCCGGGTACTGTATGTCTGGAAGAGCATCTTTTACAGATGGAACTAAATCACGGATTTTGTGTACTGTGTTGAATCGGACCTGGATCTTGTGTTTATTCAGGATTTTGGAGATCTTTTTAGTGACCCCTGAAATGTAGGGTAAGGTGAT